CGCCCGATGCCGGACGGCTACGCGCTGGAGCGGATGGGCAACAGCTTCGTCAGGAGCATCGGAGACTACGAGAGCATCGTTCGTTGTCTGGAAGAGATCCTGGAAAGCATCGAGAGCGCGGGGAGCGCCGGGAGGGCGCGGGCCCAGGAGCGCCTGGGGGACCTGCTGATCCAGTACGCGCACGCGCACCGCTTCGACGAGACCCCAGAGCTTACGCCCACGCAGAGAGCCACACTGCTCCGAATCTGCTTCCTCATTCTGGAGAAGGAGCAGTCGCAGTGGCAGTCCGCCTGCTACTTCTGGGGGAATTGGAAACTAGGAATGGCCGTCTCGTTTGCACGTCTAATCCTCCTCTTCAAGGCGGGGCACATTACACTGCGAGGTCTTTCCCAGACATTTGCCGTTTACTCGAACGTCGGAATGAGAAACTGCTGCGGGAAAGTGCAAAAGACGTGCGACGAAATTGATGAACTGTACGAGCAGGTGTTCGGACGCGAATGCGACGCGTATGCGGACTTGGTAGATGTGTATGGCGAAATTTCGACATCAGACGAAGAGTTAAGTTTTTCCTCAGATGAGTTCGTTTTTACGTCAGATGAGGAATAGTGTATGAACACACATGAGAAAGTATGCCTAGAGCATACCCAGAAAAGGAGATTTTTTCAACAAGAAATGTACTGTATGCTCTGGACTTTGCAGGAATTAACATTATTTTCTGAGTTAAGCCGCGGGTCGCTTAGCATGAGCCCCGAGTCACGATGCACACCGTGCAATGTTCAACCGTGACAACAAGGGACAAGTGACATGGTCATAATGCCATGGTATACAGTTGATGTAGTAGTACTTTGTTTGCATGGATGAGCCAACATGTATGTATTGTTCAATCTGAAATAAACTGTAACATTACAAAGAAACATGGTAACAAATTCTTATTGGTTACAAACCGCGAGCCCCTGGAAAGTCAGGCAACTCAACAGAAAGCTTCAGCCAGCAGGGAGATCGAAATGGACCCCGGGCCGGGAGTCGGGCTGAAAGACAGTCTGGCATACAGACAGACTGGGCGGCGGAAAGGGAGGGGTGCGGCGTCGCGACGCTGCTCTGGTTTGTTTACCGCCACATGCACGTCTTGGCATCGCGTCGGCCTGCTCGGGCGGAGATCCTCAAACTCATGCGGCTGCTTGTCTCACCGCCGCACCCCGCCGCGCCCTCCGCGTCCAGCAGCCACCCGCACGCGCCAGCGCAACGACTTCAACGGAAACCGCGGGGTGTTAGCACAATCGCTCTGCCAATAATTGCACCGATCGGTTAAAGACGGCAGTACACCGTATGCATTCTGTGTATTGGTCGCAGTATCGGTTCATCTCCGGCACATTTTGAATGAGGGAGGCGTGTACATTTGACGCATTCGACCCACCAAAGCAGTTAAAGCAGCAGGCACGTGAACCCATTGAACGATCGGGATGATCCTTGCGGTGGCCGCGGGCGCGGGCGAAGAAAGATGTGGGGAAAAGGGAAGTAGGGGGGGGGGTGTCTCCACCTCCCGCCACCGGGGCGCCGCGCCCGCGCGCCCGCGGCCCGTGGCAGTGCTCGCCGCGCGCTGACGCCGCGCTGAGGAGCGGAGCTGAGCGGAGCGCACAGCCGTGTAGCGCTAGCGCTGCCGCAGTCCCGCGATCGCGCGATTATATTCAGACTCGGCTCTTCTTTTTAGTATTATTTTTTTTCGCGGGTCGCTTTTTATTTTCTGCCGACGTCGTTGATGCCGCGCCGACTTGTAGCCGCCAACTATTTTTCCAATGATGTTTCGCTTTCCGTGTCGCGAATAGCCGCAGAGAGACCCGCTCGCTCGACCGCTCCTTCTGAACGAAACGCGCGCGCGCGCCGCCGGGCCGACCGAAACGCAACGGAGACGCGACGCGCGACAGTCGAAGTCGAACCGGTGACGAACCGACCGAGTGTGTTGTGCGTGGGTGTAGGTGAGTGATTGTGTGTGTGCGGATGCGTGTAAGTGTAGCAGCGGGCAGTAGTGTTGGTGCGAGGCCCCGGGGGCGTTGGTGGCGACACGTCAAGTGACCGCCTCCCGGGTAGCAGTGTCGGCGCCGATTACTAATACAGCATGTGACTTGCCGCAACAGAAATTGGTGTCAAACGTAGCACCCTATCTGTGAGGTACGAGAACAAGAATAAGGTCCTGCTCGACGGGGCACACAACACACTGCACACCGCCCCGCAGCCGCCCCGCCCACCACCGGCGACGCCCGCTCCGGCGCCCCGCCCCTCAACTGGATACACGTGCGAACGGGGATGTCAAACACCTGAGCACGCGAGGATAGGCCGTTGTGCCCCGCAGCCGCCGGGATGGCCGACGTGGAGACCTTTGTCCAGGAGGAGCCCGAGTGTAAGTAGCGGTGTGCTGAACTTATGTAACGTCTGTGTGTGCGTCTCTCTCATTTGCTTCGTTCGTATGTGTGCGTGTGTGTGTGAGAGAGAGAGACAGAGACAGGGACAGACAGATAGACAGACAGACAAACAGACAGACAGACAGACATACAGACATACAGACAGACAGACAGACAGACAGACAGAAGCGTCGAATGACAGGTGGTCAAGGCATTCAGCTTCAGCTTTAGTATAGTAGGAAATTGCATGGGA